GAATTCCTCAGTCCAGCTTCCATCTGCAAGTCTGAGCTTTTTCCTTCAGATACCTCATGTCTTTGCTCCATAATTTGCTTGAACCCCTTTCTAAACTCAACCAGACTTTCCACCTTCATCTCCAAACCTCGGATCTTTTCCTCCATCAGCTCTATCAGATGGCATTTCATGCAGACAAAACTCTTACCAGGTACCCCCTCCAGGATCACGTACGTACCGCAGCTTCCACATCCAGTCATCTTCATTGTGTCTTCCACTACATGAGTCACTCCCACTGCTGCCTCTGTATCTGTCATAGCTTTCCCACCTAAATCCTGTTAATCTAGGAAACACAAACCACACCAAACCACCACCACCCACAGCAAAAACACACCCCAAACAAGCACCACAATACAAACTCCCCTGTTTACAGCTCTGTTTGCTAGCTCCTGTGCGGCTACATTCACTTGCATGAACTGCTTAAGAGGAAGTAAATAAGTGAAGAATATTCTTTGGGTCAAAGCCAGTGAAGAGGGGATTTCCCTTACATTTCCTCTGCACACACCTTCACTTCATCCCTGCCCATCAGCCTCTGCCCCATCAAGCCCACAAGAGTAAAAACAGCCACCATCTTAAGAGGACGCAAAGGGTTTTCCACGGCCTGGCACAGGTAGCACTCTCTTTATGGCACAGAGATAGAGTCCAGGAGCCAAGGGGCCTCTTCTTCCCTTGTCTCATGATTTTCATCAGGTGAACAGCATTCCCCCTTTCCCCTCGTCCACAATGCCTCTTTGGGGATGCTCTTTTCCAGAGTTGGCTTTGTACCAAGCACCCCTTGCATTGCCGAGTATGCTGCTGAGATTGGTCACTGACCCTGCCAGCTCAGCCAACAATGCCAAACTCTCAGTCCTGGAGCCTCTATTGCTCTCTCATTCTCCTCTCCATCATTCTGCTGCCTCATTAGAAGTCCCAGATCTTGGCCTGCAGCCAGACAGCTGCCCTCTCCCCTTTGTTCCTTAATAAAACAGCAGGTTTGCAGAAGTCCAGTGTCATCCTGGGCACTCTTTCAGAACTCACTGGAACACCAGCAAAGGGCTAGTGCAAGAGAATTAGCCGAGGTAGGCCAAGGAACCAGGAAGGGAAGGAAATGCATCAAACTAAAGGGGGTAGAATTAAACAAGGAAAAAACACAAGAAAGAAGAGAATTATTTTATCTATTTGTTAATGGGGTTGGGGAACTCAGGGCATGTGCAACACTTCTGGCTCAGGGAGATTTTCAGAGAGAATAGGAGATTTTTCAAAGGACAGGCTCTGACCAATACTGGCTCTAGAAGAGGTGGAGGAACAGTAGCCATCTATTGAGAGCTGCAATTTTCACTTCTATCATAGTTCAGAGTCCTCTCATCCTGTGTCTAGTTTATACCAGGGGTTCTTCACAATAAATTTTTTGGTGGCCTCACAGCGCAGCCACCACTCTTGCTGTTGGCTGCTATGACAATTTTTCTTAAAATACTTAATTAACTTTAGGAAAAACAAATAAATGTGCACATATACATGTCCAATCATTTCAATTTATTTATGGAAGGTTTTGTTTTTTGCAGACTCAATAATAAAAATAATGTACAGTTCTCTATTCTTTACTGGATCTAAACAGAATAGAAACACAAATAAGGTGCTTTGCACATTCTTGTCTTTTGTTTTTGTAGTTTTGGGTTTGGTTGCTTTTTTTTTAAAAAAAAGACTTGCTAGCTAGTAATTCTGCTGCTGTGAAAAGTAATATCTGTATGTTTGCTAATATCACTTTTCATAGCAGAATTATTAGCTAGTTAGGAGGCTGTGATAAGTGATATTAACAACCGTACAAATATCAATTTTCACAGCAGACTTACTCAGCCCTGGCAAGCCAGGGCACAAATTAAGCCCTGGATGGGGAGGTGGGTAGAGGGACAATGGGCGCCATGGATAATAGGGGGTGGACGTGAGCCCAGGTCAGAGCCCGCCACCCACGGTACGAGCTTGAGGCCGGAGGAGGCTGTAGAGGGGCCAGGGACAATGAAGGGGAGGGGAGTGTGAGCCCAGAGCCAGCACCCGCCACTGCGTGGCTGGGGTCCAGGGCCAGAGCGCAAAGTCCCATGACTGGAACCTGCCACCCACCGCTCCAGGGTTGATGCCCGAAGCCCAAGCCTCACCACCCCTGGGAAGGTGGGGAATTCACTGGCTGCCTCCAGCGTTTGTGGCTCCAGAGGAGGGGGAGGGCCCAACCCCTTCTTGTGGCCCTGGGGGAGAGGCGCTGCTTCCCCCCCCCGTCACTGCCCAGGAGGCTGTGGTCATTGTGGCCACATTTGAGAAACGTGGATTTAAACTACGTCCTGGGCACCTTTCTGCCACCACCAGGGGGAGCTCTCAGAGCACTACAGGATTCATTAAGTAACATGATGAGCATTACAAGATCTTTGGAGAAGGAAAAGCATTTGTATGCAAATGAACTAAAGTCACCCATATACAGTGGTTAGTGTGAGGCCAACACCCCACCGTCTAGAAATCAAGCTCAGCTTAAACCCATCACGAAGTTGTCCTCCCTCTTCCCCACCCTTCTCCGAGGTGAATCTACAAACGTGCAGGAGAGCTTGAGGCAGCGGGGCATTCAGTATAAGAGGTAAATTTAAGAAAAGTCTTTTTTTTTTTTTTTAAGTTAATCTTGTAATAGCCTTTCATGAAAAATAGCCAGCAGCCTGTGACCGAGGCAATGCACACATCTTGGGGTTCAGAGGACGCCATACACCAGTGGGGTTAACCACCATGGCCAGAGTTAAACCTGGGGTAAGCCAGAGAACTCACTGAAGCTGTAAGAGTTTACACCAGGGCTCCATTTGATCCAGTGTTTTCAGAACCTTTTAATTCATAGATTATAAAACCAGAAGGCACCGTAGTGATTATCTTGTTTGACCTCTTGTATAACACAGGCAACAGGACTTCCCTGAATTAATTCCTGTTTGAACTAGAGCATATCCTCTGGAAAAACATCCAATCTCGGTTTAAAAAGGTCCACTGACGGAGAATTCACCACAAATGATAACCTCAGAGCTCACAGTTACCCTGGCAGTAGCCTCTCTTCCCTCCCAGTACATAGAGATTTCCTTCCACCTTGCCATCACCTGCAGCACATGAATGTAACATGTGCTTCAACACCCTGCCAGCACCTCTTTCCAGCAGATTTCCACAACACCAAGGGAAACTTTCGAGCAAGGTTCACTGTACACAGAATTCTCTGGGAACTAAAATTGCCCAGGTATTTGGTTTATAAAGAAAACACACAACTTAAAAAAAGCTCACAACCTCCAAGCTAACAGGATCTTTCACTGCCCTCTGCTGTTACCAGTCATTCAGCCTCCAATTTACTCTTTAATAATGTCAGGCTGGGGCTCAGGACTGGCAGCTTCCCAGCTTCTTTCTCAGGCGAGTTGGAGCTGCAGCTTGTGAATATGCTGAAGTTTAATGCAATCTGTCTTCTTTGGTAATCACATTCCATCTGCACTGGGCGCAATAAAGATGTATTGGTAAGTGCATTTGCTAAAGATATACTCTGCTGAAAAGGCTACAAGCCTGATTTACAGCGGGCAAGGAGGAAGCATTGCCTAGCAGAGACTGGCAAGAGATGTGCTCTGCTCTGCACACAGCAACAGGGGGCAGAGATTGAGCAGCAGCAGCACAGTCCCTGTTTTACTTTAGAGCTGAGGAAGAAAAAGAAACCACATGTTTTGGGAGCTGGTGACTTTAAAGATATCAGAGAAAAACCCTTTCTCTGGCAGCTTTAACCTTGCTGATTTGCAGACATACAAAGACCTACTTTATAAACAGGAAAGAAAAAAATTCCACTAGGACTTGCAACAACATTTGGTCTAATATATCCTGACAATTTTCCCATCTCCTTCTGTCGGGGCTTCTTCTGGGAGCCGGCTGGCAGCTTGCTTCACGTTATACTTAAATCAGGCGAACAGCTTCCCCTCACAATGCTAATGCAAAGGACAGAAGCTCCCTTCACAACAGTCTCAGACTCTCCCTTTCACACAGATGATCCCAGGAGAAGTATCTCAGTCTCATATTCCCTACAAAGCTCCGCTTTTTCCCTGAAGTCCACCCCACCTTAAACCCCGACACCCTTCAAGAAATTGCTCAGTCAGAGCAGATGGCCCTGTACCTGGAAGGACACTTTCCTCTTTCCTTACACACTAGAAATCCCACATCTTATACTCACCACCATCTCAAAGACTATTTTTGCCAGTTGAAAGCCCTGGAAAGAGTAAATTTCCAGTGGAAGTGATCTGTGAATTGTGCATCTTTTCCATTCCCTTTCTTTTGTTCAAATACTAATGGCCTAATTCTTCCAAGGTGCTGAGCAGCCAAAATGGATGGATGTTAATGGTAGCTGTATGCGCTCCACACCTCTGAAAATCAGATCATAAGGGGTGCAGGTTTCCTATGCTGGGCCAGCAATTTTGGGATACCCATAATACCTGAAAGGAAACATCTTGGTCTAATTTGCCAATCTAGGGAAACTAATGGCAAGCAGCAACAATAGGAGGCAAGCCCCCCAATTTGGGGTGCAATGCTAGGAGACAGAGAGCACTTAGTGCTCTGGTCATTCAAAAATATTGCTGGTGTTGGAAATATTGCTGGTGTTGGAAATATTGCTTTGCCGTCTTAAACGAGAAGGATGCAGCTCGCATGGTCCACAGGAAAAGTTGAGATTTGGAGAAAATGACAAGATTCATGAGAAGCTTAGCAGAAACCCAACAGTGGTTGGCAATACTGTCTCAAGATGCTAACAAAGAGCACCAGCACCTGCTGCAATTGGGGGGTCCAGCAGCCTGTGCGGAGGTCCTGGGGAGAGACTGAGGCCTGTGAACATTCTGACCTTGCCATCAGGGCCACAGCAATCTGAGGGAAACCTCCTCATAAGGAAAACACCACACAGAGAGGGAAGCAAAGCCAGCAGGATGCAGTGGGGAAGTAACTGTTACCTTCTGTGCTGAACTAACACAGCGCTGATACTCCTTGGCCAGCTCTGAGCACTTGAGTACTTCATGCTTGTTTTCTTGGTAGCACTTCAGAATCTCAGACTGCAGCCCTCCGCATATAGGCTCAGTGTTCCTCCGCCTGTAGGGAAAACGAGAACAAGAGGATCTGTGACAAGGGTAATGTTCACCTACTTACTTCAACTCTACCAGTTTCCATACGTATGCAAACCCCTGCACTGGAACCACGAGAAAAATCTTCATAAAATAAGTCATCCAGGAGGAATAGCAACCACCAAAGGAGTCCTACCATTCACAGTGCCTTTCGGTTGAGGAGTTCAAAGCACTTAGCAAATACAAGCCTCAATCTCCCATGAGGTTAGGAAGGGTTAACCCTATTCAGTAAGTGAGGAAAGAGAGAGAAATTACATGATTTGCCCAAATCACACAAAAAATCTTTGGCAGAGCTGGAGGTAAATCCCAGGAATCCGTGCTGAACCACAAGACTCTCCAAAACCACCAGAGGTCTACCCTAAGAGTCAGAGGAGGAACCATGACTTGTTGAATAAGCCACCTCATTCTCCAATTTATGTCACAGCTATTCAAGTATGTCAGAACAGAGCAGGTTTGGGTATGTGACTGCAGTTCACATACATAAACATGCACGAGCTAGCTTTAATCTAGCTAGAGCAATAAAGCTGTGGCAGCACAGGTTTCAGCGTGGGCTAGTCCCACATGTAACTACCCAGGGTTCTGGACAGGCTTGTACAGTCTGCATTGCAGTCCATGCTGCCATGGCTTCACTGCTTCAGCACACTAGCTAGGTAGATTAAAGCTAGCTCAGATATATCTACTAAGGCTGCAATCATACCCCAGGATTGTCATGTAGACTTGCGGGAGGTGTCGGAAGAGCATCTATATAAGTTGTTGAATAAACCACCTCACAATCTCCAATTTAAGTCACAGCTATTTAAGCACTTCAAAAAAAAGAGCAGGCTTGGGGTCATGAGGACCATTCTAGTGGCCAGAAAAAGTAGGGAGTAAGAGTGTGACTAAATCTGTTTTTTTATTTTTTGAAATAGTCCATTTAATATTCATCTATAGGTGACATTTACAGCTACCCAGGGATAACGTGGGATCTTCCTCATATACTGTAAGATATGCGTGTACATACAACACACAAGCAGCAATGTTACAAATGATGGAGAAGGCAGAGGTGAACACACCAGCAATGATGGTACTTAGGTACTAAGCAAAGTGCCATCATCTACACAGACAGGCATACACAAACTGCAGGATTTGCACCACACTTTAGAAGTTGTGTGCAAGTGTGTGCACATGTTAAGGAGGGAGTGCACACAGGAAGAAATTCTCAGATGTAATCTACTACACCTTAAATCCCCACTTTTCCTGCACTGCTACATTTGTAGGTCTGTCTCTGAACATTGAACCCAGCTATTCTTTCCACAGCACTTGATCCTACAGGCAAGTTGTAATCCTGTGCTATGACATCACATTCATTTCCCAAGCAACAAAAACGGTGTCGTCAATGCATCCGTATGACTTCAGTGCACAGTCACGGAGGCGCCGAGAGGGAGTTTCTGGATGTTGCACCTGCTGCATATTCAAGCTATTATTTGAGTCATGTTTCTTTCTACTGGGCAAAAAAAACTAAAAATCCTGTGCTTCTTGGATCCTTTGTGACTGTAGTGAGGATGCAGGGAAGGAAGCTCAGACATGAACTTCCAGCCCTCACATTTTTTAGTTTGGGGATGCATGGGGGGGGCATGATGAGGGCAAAATATTCTGTTATATCTGGATACTTCTCTGAGAAAATTGTACTAGGACACTGTTCAAGAAGTACACCTTCAGCCTTGATCACACCACCAAGTCTCAAGGGCAAAGCTCTAGCATTTATCAGGAACAACATGCCCCACACACCAGCCACAGCATGAAAAGTAACAGCAACATTGCTGTGCTTGGATTAGACACAGTCAAATAATTTAGACCCTCCCTCCCCCCGAAATGGTATGGTCTTTAAAAAGAAGGTAATACCTATGTAGGATCCCTGGAGTATGTTCATTATTTTATGTGTCATATTAAACAAAAAAAATCTTAAAAGCCTTCCAAAAGTTTGAAATGGACAAAAACTTGCAGGGAACTTCAGAAACTCATAAGGTTGGCATTTTGCTCTGTCACTGCAATTTTAATATCATTCTAATCAACTCAGTGAGTCCTTCGAAACAATACCAAACAGGGCTAGGTCAGGAAATACCACCTAATCCCTCAATTCATTGGGAAAGTTAAGACTTTTTAAATTAGGTTTTTAACTCAGCATGTTAAAAAAAACCTAAAGTGTATTTTGTAACTGTATCCAACAGGAGGGAAGGGGGAAGAAAGATACAATATGTTATGAAATCATTCATCGATATTCACCTGAATTTAACAGTGTGATATAAGCTTCTCAGATGGATGGATACATTTTAGAGAGTGTTTGGGTTTCACTTTGCCAGTCTCAGAATGGAGGGCCATTAAGCCCTTATTTGCTGGTTCCTGCCCTGCTATGGTGCCTGCCTTCACTGACTAAAATCAATGACAAGGTAGGACACGCTTGAGAGCTCATGGCACCCTCTTGCCCAGACTGTGCGGGGGGCGCAGGCAGCACTGCACAGGGTTAAAAACAAAACCAAAAGCAGCTGGTGAGGTGCCTACCACTGCCTCTCCCCTGCAAGAGGCGAGAGATCAACCCTTGTAAACTGACAGAGATTGCCTGGGGGAAGCTGCATTACCAGTGTTACCTGCCGCTGCTTCACAGAACACCCCAAAGAGCAGAGAGTTTACACAGCAACTGAATTTCAGTTAGCCAGAGTTATCACAAATACCTTACCCCTGCTACAATAAATATTTTTTTCAAAATGAAAGCAGAGATCTCATCTACACACAAGTTGCACCAATTTAACTAAACAGGTTTAGATCAATAAACTAGAGGAATAAAACACAAAGACAGTTAAGTTGATTATTGAGTTAAGACAGTCTTAAATTGATTTAAGAGTGCCTGCACAAGTGAATTTGCACTGATTTAACTAAATCTGTTTCGCAACCTTACTTAGGTAAATCAGTAGAACTTGTATTTAGACAAGGCCTTTGCTTTCACTCAAAAAAGGAGTCTCATAGTTGTAAAGAAAACCTTAAAAAATTGAAGGAATGTAACCAATGCAGTAAAGTCTGCCTGAGTTTGTAAACAGCCTAAAACAATAGCTCTGAAAGGGGTGGACTGTGCCATCTATGAGGTGCCCAATAACTATTTAGATGCCAGGTCTGTTAACTATCCCACTACTGCTCAAAGCATGTCACGGATGGAGCAGGAAGATCACAGATCTGTATGATCTGCTGCAAGTGAAAGCTGATTTTGGTGCTATAAACAGGTAGCATCTAGGAGGTTCCACCATTTCTCCCACCAGCCCTCAGTCTGACCTGTGGAGCTAAGAAATTAGAGGGGAAGAGCCTAGCCCAGGGGTCCGTGCAAACCCCATCAAAGGGGACGCTATCCTGGAGAGCCTAGTGGGACCCTAAGCCCGTGCCTGCCGTGCTCCCTGAAAGAAGAGGGTGCCTGGACTGCTCTGGTGGCGAATGTAAGCCTAAGCAGTTTCTTTCCTAGTTCCAGTGGCTGCTACTCATCCCTCTGTTAGAGGCTAGCGCAGGCTCAGGCAGACATCACTGTGCTGCTTCCTCTTGGATCACGTTTTTAATTGTTGTTTTTAAACCTGGAACCTGTGATTGTGACATCACCACATGACTGAGAGCTATGGCCGCAAGCACCCGTTGTGCCTATGCCTTCATCTGTCCCTGCTCACGGGTGTTTCTGAACCCCCCCGAGAAGGAGCCACGCCTGAGGAGCCTAGTGGAATCCAACAGAATGTCATACTTCAGACACCTTTATAATATCCTGAGAGTGATATCCCATTTTGGCCTCTGAAGTACCTTCCCTCCCACCCCGCCCCCTTGGTTAGCTACAGCCAGTAGGCTCAGACTTCTCTGAGAAAGGTAGCATTCTAGCCTCCCCACTGGGCTGCTGTTGGTAAGACAGGGTGCTCAGCAAAAAGGGGTCTGGTGCAGTGACAAATCTGGGGCTCTCTTTAGAAAGGTTCAAGGCTCATTCTGTTTTTTAAAAGGAAAAATAAATGTATTCTTTTAAAAAAGACTATGCTGGCTCCAGAGAAGGCTAGGCTCTTAGACCTTGTTTAATACATTGAGTTATAATTCCCACCAGTGTTACTGAAACAGTCAGATGGGACTCATCTACAGGGGCTGAGAGAAAGGACAGGAGGCAGGGTTGCAAGGTTAGGGGCTTGAACAATGCCCCAGGAAGAAAAATGAAGCATATCAATATGAAAGTCAAAGTCCATAATCTATGCCCCCGTCTGCATATCAGGCAAGGTGTAAATCAACAGGTGGAAAGAGGAATAGCTGAGACTAGAAATAAAATAACTCATTAGTTTTGCCTCTCTCATCAAACTGGGGGAAAACAAACCTTTGCTTCTCTGCTGTCCAATGGGAAGGAAGGCTGTGTACACATGAAATCCAGGATTTCAGATCCTCCTCTCCCCCTCCCACTGAGTAAGCTAAATCAGGTCTTTGTCTGGAAAAGAAGGGAGAGGTTTTCTTAAATGAAACAAAGGGCATTTTTCTCTCTGCTATCCCTTGAGGTAAGCTTAGAGCCAGAGAGATCTTGCTACATTTCGACACGCTGAGAGTTACCAGTTCCTATCTCTTTCCGTGTATTCCCTTTATTTAATAAATGAAATCTCATCAACTTATCCTTCTTCTATTATCACTGCTGACATCAATCTGATAATATTGGCTTGGCATGGAATCGTGCTATTATATGTCCTCCTGATATTTAATTTAAGAGAAACGTCTGCAGTGGGGTGAATATGTGAAACAAGCTTTTTATTACTGGCAGCAGTAAGGACGCTGCGAGTGAATTAGACATTCATCTTAGTCAGGACCAATCTAGTGGCTCAGAAGAGGTTTTCTCTTTAACCCTCTCTTGGCTGTTCAGCAGTGGCAGGTAACTGCTACTCCAGCCAACAGCTGTATTCATCTGTCTTGGCAAATTCACCTCTGTGTGAATATAAACCCAATGAAGAAGTGCAGAGTACCCGAGAGGTTAAAGCAAGATTCCTAAAGAATTTCCACCATAAATTCTGGGCTAGTAAAAAAGTGTTTGTCAGAATGTTTGTCAATTAATCAGACAGTAACACTTCCCCCTCCCCAACACATACACACTGAGACAGCCAGCTATTACAGGGATAGATTAAGGCAAGACCCTTGGGATCTAGGCCTCAGGGGCAGATGCAGGAACAAGGCAGAGCAACAGGCCACAGGGAAGTACCCCGCTGATTGCTAGTGGCAGGCAGTCTCCTTTAGGAGGAAGATCATGGACTCAGGATTGGGAGGTGGAGGGGAGGAGAGCCTTCTGCATCTGGGAGGAAGACAATATGGCTATGTCTACACTACGCAACTTTTACAGACGTGCCACTAAAAGGCGCGCAGTGTAACTGCTGTTTGTTGGCAAGAGAGCTCTTCTGCCGATAAAAAAAATTCCACCCCCAACGACCGGCAGCAGCTTTGTCCTGCCAACAAAGCGCTGTTCACACCAGCGCTTTTTGTTTGTAAAACTTTTGTCGCTTGGGGGGGTGGTGTTTTTTTTGAACGACCAAAGTTTTGCCAGCGAAGTTCCAGTGTAGACAAAGCCTAAGTATCTGCATGGTAACAGAAGGTTTAACTAAAAGAAGAGTCCACCATGGGGTAGCTCAAGGGTGGTTGTTACACAAAACTTTGGTAGAGGTAAGTGCCATTTAATCTTAAACTTATCCCTGGGGTTAGTTGCACTGAGAAAACAGGGCTGTAAATGCTGCAGTAACAGAGAATGGCAGGAGGATATTCTGTTCTAAAGATTAATGGAAACCATGCTCATTCCTCCTAGTCAGTCAGAGAAGGGAGACGAGTCCAGTCCCTGCCCACATAAACCTCTGTCTTTCCACCACAGAGTTGGTTCCTAACTTTCCTCAAGTTCATGAGCTTTCAGATGAAGGATTTTGGTTCAGGCCCTGTTCTCCACCATTCTGGGACAGAGTTCCCAACTCTGGAAGTCAGTTTATTTGCCCAACCGCCTCAAAAAAAAATCCCTAAACCCTACCAGTATTCGCCACTATTTTGTCCTGAAACTAAAAATACACCAGCAAAGTAAATATCTACCACTATCATTTTAGGACATAGCAGCCCCATAGGCCAGTGCAGGAGAGCAATTTCCTGGTGGTTACTATACACCAGGCAAACTAGTTGATTATTACAGAGGTCCCAGATGTAGTCAAAAGATTCCACGGAAGATTGCTCTTTTACACTCTGGTGAACTGTATTCAGACTGAACTGTATACGGCAGTTACAAATGAGTTTGTGGGGGAGATGGGGTGGAATCTAAACCTAGACATTTTCATGCATTTACTCAGGAAAAGCCCAGGGCTGAGATATCAGGTGGTGTGGCAGGTCAGAAATGAGGTGCCCTGACAGAGCTGTATGACAGCCCAGGGCATAGATAGCTCGGGGTGTCGCAAGTCAGGATTGACATAAACTAGTGACTTGTGATAAAGGATACGTCTACACTCTGAGCTAGGGCTGTGATGCCTAGCTTGCGCAGACATACTTGCGCTACTGAGCTGGTGTTCTAAAAACAGTCACGTAACTGAGGTAGCATGGCAGTGGCGAGCAGCAGCACAGGCTAGCTGTGCTAAGTACAAAGCAGCCTGAACTCTGCGGACATGTGCCTGGCACAGCTAGTCCATGCCACTCCTCACTGCTGCCTGTGCTACCTTGGCTACACTTCTACTTTTAGGGGGCTATCTTGAAGGGAGCAAGTGCTAGTATGTCTACAGCAGCTGGGAATCACACAGTGGGATGTTTTTGCATCACAAGACATGCTGTGGGTATTTTAGAGTGAGCATGTTGGTGCAATGGTCAGGTACTGTGGTATGTTATTGCACATATACAAAAACCTGTAAGTGGCTAGCTGAGCTGGAAAACTGCGTTCTCCCTTTGATAGTATTTGGCTGTCACAGACAGCTTCTCTTTAACATGTTAGGAAAATAACTCTGGAGGAATACATCGAACAGGACAAAGAAAGGTTTCTTCTTTTCTGATTATCGCATCCTTATCACTGACAGCCATGACCTCACTACTTGCTTTGGAATTCCCTGCCCCAGCATGGCAGTTCAATAATATAGCTAGAATTAAAAAGGGGATAGTCATTTGGTGGCTGATTTAGCAGGAATATTGAGTGGATGATCTAACAGATCTTTTCCATCTCTGACTTCCATGATCCAATAATATTCTATTACAAATACTAAGATGAGGTACCCAAATCGTATGTTTCAGGAGCATAACCTCTGTGGTCAGGAAGAAAACACTCCTGCCCTTCCTCAAGTATTCAAGAACACTGTTCAACAGATCTGGTTTCACCTTCCTCCAAAGCTTCGGGATTGGACACTGCTGTGGATTAGTTACCATGCTGGGCAGAACTAAAGCCCAATCTGCTATGACAGTACTATGCTATGTCAAGTAAGAGGACAATGTGGACCAAAATAGAGAGGAACCACCCCTGGGACTTCTCATAAGGATAGCACCATTAACCTCAGTGTTCTAGTTAAATTCCAGCTCAGATAACTAAATTCTGCATCCTGGAGTTGCCTCTGCTGTTTCCATTGGATAGAATATGCTGCTTTACTTCCTGTCAGCATAAACAGCTGTGCAGCACTGCAACTGAACAGCTGCTGCATTCCACCCCAGAGATAGCTGCATTTCAGTGGTGGGTGAAGTGACTGCTATATTCTAGTGGCATGGGAGTGCCACTATTGTTAAGGTTGCATTGTGCCACCTGTTTAAAGGTGGACCTTTCCAAGTTCTCTAAAAAGAACACCCATAGTTGGTTTCTTTGAAATTTAGTGTGCCTCAGGAGGGTGCAGGATAGTGTTAGTGACCAAAATTTGGAGTTATCTGAGCCAAGGGTTCCAGACATATAAGACCCCATAAATAGCCACTTTAAAAAAAAAAAAAAAAAAAAACTGTAGGTGAGGTTTTGTTTTCTGGTATTTTGCACAGAGCTAGAGATCAAACTATTGATGTGATGCAGGTCAAAAAGGTCTCAACCTGTCACGTTTTACCCAAGTTAGTGTATGGTACCCACCAGCGGCACCAACTTTTAACGTGTCGTGGAGTACTCGACCCCCACCCCCAGCTCTGTCCCAGGCCCCACCCCCACTCCACCTCTTCCCCCAAGCCCCCACTCCCACCCCGCCTCTTCTTACCCCCTCACCTCAGCACCTCCTGCCCACTGCGGAACAGCTGATCTGCAGCAGGAAGGAGGTGTTGGAGGGAGGGGGAGAGGCTGATCCACGGGGCCGCCAGCGGACGGGAGGTGCTGGGGGGACGGGAGCTGGCTGCCGGTGGGTGCTCTGCAGCCACCATTTTTCCCCCATGGGCACTTCAGCTTTGGAGCACCCATGGAGTCGGCGCCTACGGTACCCACTAAATGTTTCGGGAATCCAACTTGAAGAAAATGTACACTTCTTATATTGCACATGCATCAGTACAGAAAAACAGCTAGAGGAGTTTCCATGCCCACAATTTTATATGGTTTAAACTTGACTCTTGTAAGCGCCTCTCTAAAATCTGCTGTTTGCAGTGTTGTTGTAGACATGTTAGTCCCAGGAGATTAAAGAGACAAGGTGGGTGAGGTAATATCTTTTATTGGTGAAAGAAACAAACGGATTTCTGAGTTATAGGCCTCCCAAAGACAGCTTTCCTTCTGCTACCTTGTACTATTAAACTCAGGGTATGTCTACACTGCAATCGGACACCCACTGAAGGCCTATGCCAGCTGACTTGGGCTCACGTGTCTGTTTAATTGCAGTGTAGACTTTCTGGATCAGGCTATAGCTGAACCTCTGGGACCTCCCACCTCCTAGGGTCCTACAGCCCAGGCTACAGATTGAGCCCGGACACCTACACTGCAATTAAACAGTCCCACAGCTCAAGTCAGCTGGCATGGGTCAGCCGTGGGTTTTTAACTGCAGTGCAGACATACTGCCAGAGGTACTCATGACTGTATGAATTACAGACCTCTTGATAACTGTGAACTCACCCCTCAATTAACATATCTAAGGATAAGTTAATCACAAACCTCCAGCTAAGACAAAAGGAGTTTTGGACTTAGGGAATGTCTCCACAGCAAAAAAAAGAGACTAGCAATAGAGAGCCTTAGAATCCAGGTCAACTGCCTCGGGCTAGGAGGCTCACACTGCAGAGGTAAAAATAGCAGTGTAGACATTCGGGCTCGGACTGGAGCCTGGCTTGAAACCCAACAAGAGGGAAGGATCTTGGAGCCTGGGCTCCAGCCTAAGCATCTACATTGCAATTTTTAATACCCAATAATAATACATAGCCCCTGTACTAAAGAGCTTTAACAACATTAAACTTCACAAATACCCCTTTGAGGCAGGTAGTCTCCCTATTTCACAAATGATGAACCTCACTGCTTAAGTTTAACTGACTTGCCCAAAGTCACGAAGTCTGAGTTCAAGG